AGCTCCCCTGGGTTCCATTCCCAGCACCACCACAAAACAAAACAAAACCCGAACAAACAAACAAAAAACACTTTTCAATTTGTCTGTCACTTCATGATCGTGCTCCAGGAGAAATAGGGAGATGCATTCGCCCAACCAGCACTGACTTGAAAAAAAAAAATCATTAGAAATTATTTTTGACACTTGGGAACTGGCAGCCTGAGAATCAGAATTTGGATTTTGCTGGTCAAACATTTCAGGGGCTATTTCTTCCTAAAACTGCCATCCAAGTTGACAGCTATCCAGTGGCTGGAAGAGTGGCATTCATTATAGTCTTTTTGATGGATTTGAGAAATTCTACAAATGTGGCCAATAGAATAGTTGACGATAGAGTAGCCCAATTAGCCACTTCTTATCAAGCGTAAAACAGATCAGCGTGAGCCTAAATACTTGGCCACAGAGCAGACTAGCAGAAATTGAAGTGCAGAATAATCAAGGCTAAAGTTGCAGGCCAGATTTTAAAAGCACGAAAACATCAAAACAAGCAGTTAAGAACGTGAAAGACATAAAAGCATGGACATCTTGAGTTTTAAGGTATTAAATATGAGTAACGTTAGGCCTTGTTCATTGTCCATGGTAAGAAACAGGACATCCCTAGAGCTGACACAGTCTTTTCTAGGACAACCTGATATCTTAAAGCAATTCATTTTTAGACCTGGGAAAACGTCACCATAGGCATGCCTCTCGAGTTGAAAATTCTTCCTTGAAACGATCCATGTATCCAAAATAAAGTTTTTGTTTATTTATTTATTTTTCTTTTTTTTTTTTTTTTACAAAACAAAATTTCTCCTTCAGGTGCCAGAACTCTTTCCATCTCTTTCATATGAAACTTAAGAATGTGCCCTTTCTTTCACAGATCTTTAAATCCCAGGCATGTTAACATGATTGAACCTTTTTGGTGACCCAGGCCATACTTAATATGGTATGGTAACTGGAGGCCTTGAAGAGGTGAGAGAATGTTTGGAGTAGAGGCACAGAGGAAGGGACGTGGATGATAAGGGGTGGCAATCTGAGAGTGCGGAATCTTCAGAATCAAGATTTTTAGAAGTGATGTTGCTATTGAAGATGATAAAGCCCAGGGCTTATCTGACTGCCTGTGAGAACCGTCTGGAGAACTAGGGCCTCCCCCATGTTCTCAGGAACTCAGACTCCTTTCCGCTCTTGATTTCAAAATTGCTGTTTTCTGGCTGCTTTGTTATGTCCCCAGAGAGGGGAGGGCTCCAGCTTTCTCCTGGACATTCCCAACAGTGGGCAGGAAGAAGGGGGAGAAGCTAGATCAGCCGACTCACAGACAAATTCTTGGGGGTTGTCACCCAAACCCATCGCCCAGAACTTGACAACATGGCCCATACCATACAATAACTGTAAGGCCTTGGGACATCTCGTCTTCATCCTGATTGGTCATCTGCCCAGCTACACCTGCTGTTAGTAGAGAAGAAGGGAAGAAGGAATGTGCCTCAGGAGGGTCGTGGGTTACACAGTCTGATCATCTGAGCTTCAGAGGAGCTGTTAATTTTGAAATTGTATCTCTCCTCTCCTCCCAGGCACTCAGGTCCCTCGATGGGAAAGGAAAAGCAGCTTCCAGCTGAGAAGGATCCCGTAGGAGACAACCAGGTCTCAACCAGGGCAAGAATGGGAAATGTAGAGAAGTTAACAATAAAAAGGAGTATTTTAATGGCAACAGTTATTTACTGCCCACCCCCATAGCTTGTTTTGTTTTTGTAGCCACCGTGTATTGCATTATCATGACAATCACTCCTTTGCAAATACACTTAGTTGGTACCTTTGGCATTCCATAGTACTCTTGGAAAATCCCCAATTCTGAGTGAGCTCAACTGTCTCTTCCTTCTCATAAAATTAGTAGCTACAGAGCTTCAGTGAGTTTTCAGCATGGTCTGAGAACCCTGCAAGGTCTCCCGTGGGCAGGCCATGGCCCACTCTATAGAAGATCATGGTTCCCATCTCCTTCTAACTCCTTCTCTGAGTGCAGAAGTGTCCTGAGCCCCAGCCCTTCTAGCTGACCTCTCCCGTGACCTCAGGAAACATGTCCCCGTGCCTGCCTGGCATCTCCACTTAGGTGATTGTAGGCATGCTGTCCCTGAGCACGTCCAAGCAGGGCTCTTGGTTTCCCACACAGACCCAACATCTCTTGCAGCCTTTACCATCTCCCTAAACGTCACAACCACCCACTGGGCGGCTAAAGTTAAAAGCTCAGGTGCTGCTCTCCCCACCCTGCGCCATCACACCCCAGGCTTCCCCAAGTCCTGTCGGTTCTGTCTTCACGAAGAGTATACCAGTGCCTAGGTCCTCTCCCAGTTCTCCTTCCAGCTTGAGCTCACCATCCCTATTCATGATGCAGCCCAAGTGCTTTGCTGCTTTGAAATTTTCTCCACCAAATAAATTAATCTAACACCTTTAAGCTTGACCTCCTGCAAAGAATCAGGACATGGACAAAATGCATCCATTTTTTTTTTCCTGCTACATTCTGACAGGGGTGACCTTTTCAATTCCTGGTAGAATCTTCATTTCCATCTGAAACCTCATTAGCATAACCTTTGCTCTCTAGATCAGCATTCTGGTCTTCCACATCCTCATCCAGTTCACCCATTAAGCTCTGCCTGCAGCATTCTAGGTATTCTCTAGCCTCCTTCTCCAAACTTTGCCAAATTCCTGTCAGCTAGTTCCAAAGGCTCCTCCACATACGCAAAACTGTTAAAAAGCGGAGAATGGCTCTGCTTCTCAGTATTACTTTTCTTTGTTAGTCAGCTTTCTGTCACCATGACAAAATATCTGAGATAATTAACTTATTAAAATAAAGGTTTTGGGGGGCTGGGATTGTGGTTTAGAGGTAGAAAGCTCACCCGGCATGCGTGAAGCCCTGGGTTCGATCCTCAGCACCATATAAAAATAAATAAAATAAAGGTATTTTTTAAAAAAGAGTTTTTGGCTTGTGGTTTTATTTTTTAAAATTTTTATTTATTTTTTTTATGGGGCTAGGGACTGTACCCAGGATCTCACACATGCTAAGTAAGTACACTGAGTTACACCCCAAGCCCTGACTCATGGTTTTAGAAATTCTAGTCCATGACATAAGCTGGACTCATTTCTTTTAAATCTCTGGCAGGGGTGCTCAATGACAATGCTAGGCACTTCCCCAGTGACTTGAAGACCTCCTGCTAGGCCATGTCTCCTAAAGGTTCCACTTCTTCCCCCCC